TCTTCTCTTCTTTCCCTTTGTGTTCCTCGTTTTGGCAAATTACTGGAAGATGAGGTTCTGACTGAAGGGAGTAAAATCTGAAGTTTCAGTATCATGTCCAAGGTTACCTACTTAGGGGGACAACCAGAACTCACACAGGAAGTCTAAATCTAGAGCCAATACTCTAAATCACTACACTGGACTTTGTCACTGATACAAATATTTTCAAAGTTCTGCAGTATGAAAAGAGCCCCAATTTTAGAAATTCTGTGTTCAGAAGTACAGTACCTAGCTAAAAATTCAGTTGCTATGGAACAAAGTTAGACTAGACAATAGACGACGAGTAGTCATATATAGCAAAAGTAAAAAACCACAAATTAAGAATTCTGGAGTTTAAAATCCAATCTTTTCAATCTTAATCTTTTATATGAAAGTTTTAGAAAGACCCAGAAGCTTTATATAAATTAAAATCCATATGGTTTTTTGTTGTTGTTTTTGGTTTTTTGACACAGGGTCTTGCTGTGTAGTTTAGGCTGGCCTCAAACTCATGAGGATCCTCCTGCCTCAGCCTCCAAAGTTCTGGGATTGCAGGCATATGCCACCAGGCCAAGCCCCTATCCATACTTAACTATTTCAGGCTGCTAATTCAGACAAGCAACAGAAGTCAAAGAACTTAAGTTTGTACCTTTCTCCTTTCATCTGTAGAATAATGAATAGTTACATCAACATATTGTGGACTAATTAAATAAAGTACAGGAGCTGAGGATTTAGCTCAGTGGCACAGTGCCTGCCTGGCAAGTGTGAGGTCCTGAGTTTGATTCCAGGTACCGCTTCCACAAAAAAGAAAGATCATTAAATAAAGTATGACACTCTGAAATGTCAGTATTTTATTAGCATACAGCATACTTCTCCCATCACCAAAGTCTAAATTACTTTCTGTGAATTTTTAATGTTGCTTAAAAAAAAAAAAACTCCATTGTCTCATATTTCACAGAAGCTTGGGGAAATAACAATTATATAGCATCTAAAATTAATTCACCTCTACTTTTCATTCCTCTTTGCTCAGACCCCCACTTTATTATAAGGCGGATTGTTAAGTACTGTATAACCTTGTTTACACTAATGCGTATGGTCCAGTAGCCTCACAATCTGGTTATTTCTTGTGGCTGGGACATGGCAAAAAGTACAGGACAGCCAAACCACTCTCAGACATAGAAGCAACAACGCTCACACATACCCTTTATTTAATTAAGTGGAAACAGCCTAAGAATGAATCATGATGAAGTTCCCCAAGTGTTAAACTCCATGTCTGTTATTCTAGTGGAGGCTAGTCATACTGGGTTGATTCATGTGATTTTAAAACTAATCTATCTTGTCTGAAAACAAAATGAGCTTATCTTTTGAAATAATAAGAGCAGTGTAAACTGGGCAGAGACTTGTTTGCATTTTGGGAGTTGATACAACCAGCTAAAGCTAAGGACACAACCTGCAGGTGGTAGAGGTAGAAACTGAAGCCAAGTTTTCTAAGATCTTTCAAGGAGAAAAAGGGACCATGAAGGCACCATCAAACTTCTGGCCCCAAACTAGACGGCCTCTGGGAGTCTCCCTAGCTCACTGTATGAACACATGAAGAAAGTCAATGCAGAGCTTTGTATGACCTTGCAGTTATCGGGGACATACTTGGGAGCAGTCTCTGGACCCTCAAGCAGCATGGGACGTTGGTTTAGCATTTGGCCCTGCATGGGAGATACCAAGAACTGACAATGTTGAGCAGCTCAGTATAGAAACTTTGAGCAGTCGTGGGTAAAAATGCCTTTCTCCTCCAGGGCTACCTGCCTCATATGGGGCTGAGGAATGTAAGAACACAGGAGGGGCCACATTTGCTCCCCTGCCAGCATGAGCCCAGCGCAGGCTACCAAGGGGTTCAGGAGAGATGGACCTGTGCTCCTGGCCTGGATCCTGCAAGGGTTTAATATGGGGCAGGATTTCCAGCTTTGAACTATGGTGTCTTCACTACTAATGAGCCCCGCACATTTGTTACAAAACACAGATACCTGATAAAATACTGAACATACATGCTTTCATTATTAAAGCCCTAATACTCTTGATTAACTCTCCAGTAACTAAAGTAAAAAGGAAGAAAGGAAAAATAAGGCAGCAATGATCTGTAAGAATTACCCACTGGAAGCTTATCTTGTGCAGTGTAGGTTGTACCATCCCTTAAAATGTGTTAATACCCTTGTCCAAAACTGCTGGAAGCCCAGGTTATCATACTTAAGTCCTCTTAATTTATTTGCAGAAGTATCTTTCTTGATGCCAGGCTCCATTATTTTAAACATGCCCTAGACCCCTATTACCATTCTTCTTCTGTAAAGTTCATTAGCACACAGGGAAAGAATCTTCCTATGGAAATGGTCATACTTAATAAATATACTTTCTCAGTATACATTCAAAAAAGTCACTTGAGAATGGTTTATTTTGATATCACTACATTTCATGACAATTAAAAACTGTTAACTTTCTAAAGTATCTTCCATGAACTGGAAGACACTTACACAAATTGCTTTAAATACATACCATGAATTGTTTTTAAAAAATATCTTGCACATTTGTCACCATTATTTGTAAGTTCTTGTAAAATTCTGTAAAGCTTGGAAAAGGCAAATATCGAACCCAGGACAAGTTCTAGGGGGCAGAGGTGGTGTCAGTCTCGCTCACTGTTATACTCTGGCACCTCATCCAAAGCCTGGCATGTACAAGGCATTCGGTAAGTATCTGTTAAGTGATATGTTTTCATCTTTGTAGAAAAGATCCCCCAGAGGATAGCAGTCTACCAGTGCAGAGTTATTCTGAAACTAAAAAGGAAATCTGAACTCTAAGCTCCCTTGGGGGGAAGCAACAGATCATGGCATTTGAACAAACCAGAAAGGGAAAGATGTGATGTGGCCTGAAATTTAGAAAAGCATCATACAAAAATATTTTCTAAATGTATTACTTCACTATGACACTCAAAAGCTGGCTCTCAAAACTGCAATTCTGACTGTCATAGATGCTCCCTAAGAAACACAGGAAGCCATCCAGAGGCCTGTTTATGTCTGTCTACATTCCAATAACCTACTTAAGAATGGACAAACGGGGGTTACAAAACCAGAGAAAATTTATGAACACATTCATGTGTAAGTACAAGCTGTAAGTGGATTAAAACTTACAGAAATACTAAGTAGATCTCCTGTGGGTATTTTCAGTTCAGACTTAAAATGAGGTCTAAGTCTACAACTCAAGGACAGTGACTGAACGCAAGTGCTCAAGGAAAAAGAAATGAAATTCACTTCTGTCCGCTCCACTGAGCAGGGATGTTTATGGTATACCTAGTGCGGGAGTGCTGTGCTGGCTGTTTTGTAACACAGTCCTCAGAGAAGAGATAGAAATCCCTGTTATTATTCTAAAGGTGGTGAAACTAAGGCGCAGGGCAGTTGATGACTTGTCTAAATTTACATATTAACTACTAAGTAGAACAAGGACCCAAATTCAAGTCTGACAAAGTCTTTCCACCTCCTTGTATAATGAAAAATAGCCAAGTGGATGCCGGCGACTAGGAATATCTCCTGAAAAAAAAGTGGAAAACACTCAAGTGCTGAAAATCTGTCACAACCTAGGGGCTGGGGATCTAGCTCAGTGGCAAAAGTGCCTGCCTGGCAAGCACAAGGTCGTGAGTTTGATTCCTGGTACCAGAAGAAAAGAAAAAAAACAAAACACAACCAAATCGATCAATCTGACCCAGGGCCCTTGAGATCAGTATAGTGACCTTCAAGGAACCATGGGTAACAGGTGGGTGATGGGCAAAGGCCATTCTCACTTTTTCAAAAGTATGTGTAAGACTCAGAAGGGCTACTCTCAGGTCAAACCTCCTCTGTTGTCAGCAAGGGACACTGCCCAGTGCTTGCACAGGCTGAAGAGGTGACATGCTATGATCAATAGACAGTTGTCAAGTGGATGCAGGATTAACACCTTCTCTTGAGTAGGTCTAAAGAAGAAAATTCTGTTAAAAGGGAGTATGCAGACTTGGGTGGTACATTCCTGTAATCCTGTCACTGGGGAGGCTGAGGTAGGAGGATCGCCATGAGTTCAAGGACAGCCTGAATTACAAAGCAAGACTCTGTCTCAAAAAAAAAAAAAAAAAAAAAAAAAAAAAGAAGTATGCAAAAAATAGAGGCTGACTTCAGAGAGAAAAGTGAGCTCTCCATTCTCCTTCTGGGAAGTCTTGGCTCCCTAACTCCTATGACTCAGAACCTCACACCACACCCCTTGTTATATTGGCTGTATCCTACTTACATGATAGGTGCTCAGTTCCTCTAGAAATTAATCACCAACTGCTTTACAATGAGAAAATCAATTCCATGTTCCACGTGACAGAGTTAGATAACCTTATACAGCACATTGAACCAGAAACTACATATACCTGCATCACTTTCTCTCAACAAAACAGAAAGTACTAAGCTCACTTATTGTTTAATTTGGGGCAGGATTTCCAGCTTTGAACTATGGTGTCTTCACTATTAATGAGCCCTACACAGTTGTTACAAACCACACATACCTGATAAAGTACTGAACATATATGCTTTCATTATTAAAGCCCTAATACTCTCGATTAACTCTCCAGTAAAGTAAAAAGAAAAGAAAAATAAATAAGCAAGGCTACTTCTGTAATTTCAAATTATTCAAAATTGGTGAGCACATTATTAGCAAACCTGTTTTAGTTTGGATCTGAAGTGTCCCCCAAAATCCCCCGTTGGAGACTTAGGCTCCACCCTGTGGTGTTACCAGAAGCTGGTGGAATCTTTAGGAGGTGGGACATAGGAAGAAGTCTTCAGGTAACTGGGAGGAGGCCTTCCACAGGGATAACAAGAGCCCATTCCTTTTTTTCATCTTGGCCATGAGATGACTGGCTTTACTCTACCATAAGCTTTTGCCATAAGCCCAACACATTAAGGACAACAGACCATGGACTGAACTTCCCAAACTGTGAGTCCAAGAAAACTTTTATCTTTATCTCCACTATCCATTATAGTAACACATTACCCTAATTTTAGACTTTCTAAACCAATGTCAATACAATGCAAGTTACACATAAAAAACATCAAGTTTATGGACATTCTCTTGGCACAGATAGAAAAAGTAATAATGAAAAGGCAATACAGTTGACTTAGAATTTCCTTTCCTCTCACATTATAGTCAAAACATTTCAGCGTTAATTCCCTACAATGATGGAGGTAGCCTCCAAGAATCTGACATGCTGGCTTCACTGTCCTGGGGACAAGGAGAGCCAGCTGGATGTGCAGAGCGGCAGTGTTAATAACCAGGACAAGCTGTTGTGTTACGACTTTGCTGCTACCAAAACCCAAAAAAATGCATCCTAACACATAATACCAACAGTAGAAATTATGACATAAATATATTTCTTATGCAAAACAAATGAATACATAATACAAACAGAGTGATGAAAATTTCTTTTTCGGGAGTACCACCATGACTCTGCAGTTTTAAAAGGAGTTAATATCACATTTAACACTTTTAATTCTGTAAAAACCATGGTTAAGACAGTATGGAAAGCTTAGATTTTGGTAGAAACCTGGATGTGGGGAAGATTGCTATAAAAAAATGAAAACAGGAATGATAGAAGTGTATTTTTATATACAAAAATGAAGGCCCAAAATATAGTTTGCTGAAGTAGCTATTGAAAAGATGTTGAGTTACTTTTCCTTTGCTTTGGTTAAAACAGCTTAGGAGCAGCAGTCAGTTCTCCTCCTACCAACAGCATAAACACAGTGACAGGACTATTTTTAGTACAAAATAAACGACTTTCAAAAAATTAAATTAAACACTTTACCAATAAATAAATTTTTTGAAAAGGTAGCATCCTCATCCTATAATCTTGGGCATAACATATATACCAACTTAAAAAGTAAAGTTTCTCCCACAATAATAACTACAAGTGTTAATGCAACAAGCTATGAAATGAAATTACTTTAATGTATTTTAGGAAAGCTCCTAGCAACCAATATGAATTTTAAGTTGGCATTTTCTACAACTGTACATATTCCAAAGTAACGGACTAATACTTTCTTACAGAATATAATCCCAACAACTGTTGGCATTTCAATGTAATCCTAAGAAAATGGTTAAAAGAAACATGTAGCACACCAAATCTCAGAGTTTATAATTCTGATTTACAGCATGAAAGGGAATCAACTTCTACTTAAAACCATAACCAGTACTGAAATATACTTCAAAAACAAAACATTTGGACTCATGATCTTCAACATTAGTTAAAAATGGTCTGATGTTTGTTGCTGATGGTAATTATTGAATCCAATGTGCAAAAAAAAGTGCAACTATCTGTTTTCTTGAAATATGTAAGACCAACACCACTATTTACACACTTAAAAGATCTGAAATTTATTAAGTAAACATATTGCATCTCCTTTATAGATAAATCAGGTGCTGCTGGGAGCCCAAAAGCTTGATGACATTCTATTACACTAATGTAACTGAAGCAGATCTGTTTCTTGTCCTAATTTTGATCCTAACCACAAATCTCAGGTCAAAAATCAACTAAGAATTATTTTGCTGTAGGAAATCCTGGAACTGTTGCACATCAACTTAGTCGCTGAGGGCCTTTTCAATTCTCCTCACTGCTGGTCCACTCGGCAAATCCCTGCCAGTGCAGAGTGCAAATCCCCAACCGAGAGGAGCCGCAGAACTCAGCCGCCACCACCAGCGCCCTGGTGGGTTTGCTCAGCCTCCTGTACTTGTGACTACAGCTTTGGGGAAGCAATCAAAACAGATGAGGAAACACTTCAGCAAAGCAACTATTATCTGTCCACAAAAACAGTGAAAAACAGTGATATAAAAAATTAACAAACCAAATACAAATCTAATACCATTCTGTATTTCCAGAACTTGGTTTCATACTCGTGCAGTGTTCTTGGTCAATCTCCCACTGCCACGTTCTGCGTCTGTAAGGTATACATTTATTAAATTATTAAAACGGCTGTTTTGACCATAAGTCCCATGTAATTGCAATGATCAGGAAATCAAGTGATTCAATTATTACTCTGTGCACTGCACTCTTCAGTGCTATGAGTGTGGAGGAATTAAAAATGGAACGGAAGTCTCTTGCTTCTAAACTGGACACAGGAGTTCTCAAATTAAAAATCTTAAAAAGGAGCAGGGGAGCTTCCTGGCAACATGAATAGACACTAGACAGGACAGCGCCACTGTTTGGTCACAACTTAGAAAGAAAGTCTCCTTGAAGAGTTGCAGACACCTAACCAACCACTGCCTCCAGTCCAGCTGGTGCGACGCTGCACATTTCCGTAAAAGCGGCGCCACCAGCCTTCAGCTTGGCCTCTGCTGCTCGGCCCAGGGTCCCCGCGGTCCCCTAGCTGCAGGCAATGGTTTCCAGCTGCTGCTCAGCCTCTGCGGCCATTGCAGCCGCTTGCAGCTGCTCCGTCTCACTCTGCATGGCGCTGGGGGTGACCTGTTTCCTCTCGCTGTGCATATTGTTCTCGTGCCGCTTCAGATCGGAGGCCTTGGCGAAGGCCTTGGTGCACGAGCCACACACAAAGGGCTTCTCCCCTCGGTGCCGCCTCTCATGGTCCTTGAGGTGGGACTTGTGCTTGAAGGCTTTGTCACACATGTGGCACGCGAAGGGCCGCTCGTTACTGTGCACCCTCTCGTGCTTCTTCAAGTCTGGGGCACGGATGAATGACTTGCCGCACACCTCACAGCTGTAGGGCTTGTAGCCTGTGTGGATTTTCAGGTGTTCCTTCAGGTGGGCCTGCGTGGTGAAGCCCTTCGTGCACATCTCGCACACAAACGGCCGGTCCGCCGTGTGCAGCTTCTCGTGCTTCCGCAGGCGGCCTTCATCGGAGAAGGTCTTCCCACAGGCCTGGCAGGCGATCTGCTCCCGATGGTGACCGTACAGCAAATACTCAAACTTCATGTCACTGGCGGCTGTGGTCCAGCCTGGGGTCTGTTCATCTTTCACCTCACTCATGCCATCATTAAATGTTAAGGCTTGAGGGGTCTGGGACCCCAAATCTTTGGACTCTGGGGTCTCCATGGACTCTACCTCCTGGCCGTAGCAATTGACTTTCCGAACCTCCTCACTCCCTAGCTCTTTCAAAATCGCCTCCTGAACCCTGAGCGTGGTTGTGGGTGACTTGCCGTCCTCCTGACTCGGGGGGGTACCCTCTACTGTGTCATCGGAAGGGCTGTCATCCTGATCCCCAATTTCTTCCACATCATCATCCTGAGTGTCCGTGGCGTCTCCAATGGGGCGATTTATTTTGAGGCAATACTTACTTTTGGACTGACCATTACTTTCATCGGGACTAGACACATCACGCTTCTGAGAACAGAGTTTATCCAAAAATCGGATACCAAGAATCTGACCAGAAGACATCATTAAGTTAACATCTTCCTTTTTCACAGAAATCTTTGCCGTGTACATGTAGTTCAGGACCTCTTCAAATATATCAGAACGGAGAAAATCTATCTCTATTACTGAAGAACTATCCACCTCGAGCTTCTTGAAAAGCTTTTTAAAGTAGGTGCTGCATGCGGCAAGAACACATCTGTGTGCTCTGAATTTTACATCTTCAACCACGATAGCAATATCACAAAATTCTCCTTCCAGGCGTTGCTCATTTAGTGTTTTTAGAAACAGAGTTTTATGATCATCGTCATTATACTTAATGGTTTCAGACATACTGATGAAAAACTCCTACAAAAAATTTTATTAAAAAAAGGAGTTTAATGATTAAGAATAATTTTTCCACACAGACAATACAGGTAGATGTTCATTTGATGATCAAAAAGTCAATGTCAAGGACAGCCCAAGAACTGGGCAGAAAAGACTGATGCCTACTAAGGGACTTCCATACTGTTACTCTGTTTACCTTCAGTTTATGAAGCATTTGCCTAGTAATAATAATTAATAATAATAATAGCCCCTTTTATAAAATACACGCTGGGCATTATTTGAGGTGCTTCATGTATCTTAATTACTTCCATATCCGAATGACTTTATGAGGTAGGTTAGTTAGAAACTTGCCCAGTATTATGCAGCTACTTAGTAAAGAGTTGAGCCTCTCATCCAGGTGATAGCTCTGAAACTCATGGTTCCAGACAACAAGGACAAGCAAGTCTACGTCAACCTTAACAAGGAGGCCAGGACCTTAGTCCTGTCTAGAGCATCTACTCTGATCCCACATCTGGAGGATTCAGCAGAACAGTGCTCAGTGTTAATCACGGCTGCCAACTCGAGGGGCACTGCTGCCAGCTCGCTGAGTGCTGTCTTCTCGTTTTACCATAGCAGTTTTAGGCTACTTCTCAATGAGGCCCCTATGAGACTCAGATGACACCTAGGAAGAGAACAATGAGTGGCTTTGTTCTCCCTGGACACCAACCTATCCCCCACCGGGTGAGTGTCATCCACACTGCATGTGCAGGTTTACTGTCCTCACTAAATGCTTGGGACCAGAAGTGTTTGGGATTTTGGAATACTCGCTCATATATGTATCATATGAGATGTTTTGGTGATAACACTCAAGTCTAAACATGAAATTTATGTTTCAAGTGGAATTTCCACTTACCGTATCATTTTAGCACTCAAAAGAGCCCAGAGTTTAGATTTCAGATACGTAAATTAAGGAGGCTCAACCTGTACCTGACAAGTGCTATGAGTATTTTATAAGCAAAAGAAACTTAGAACTGATATGATCTCTCATCATATTGAAATTCTGAGCTTTTAAAAATGATGTGTTCTATGCGCTTTTTTCAAAACCATTACTTTTATTTGATAATATAATTTTGAATAATTTTGATAATATAAATTTGAAGAAAACACAATTTCCCAAAGAAACAGAAGTCAATATATAACCTGATATACATACAATTTGTATGCTGGACATGGAGCTCAGGGCCTTGCTCCTGCCAGGCAAGTGTTTTATCAGAGCTATACCCCATCCAAGCAAAAGTCAAAACGTTTTTTTCAACACTTAATATCCAAAGGTATAGTTACCATGAACAATTCAGGCTATTATTTTAATGCCTTAAACACCAAAATCTTCAGATCAGAATAACTGATCAGGGCACACCACACCTACAAAGAAAAAAACAAGAATGAGGTAGGATCTTTCTCCATTCCGAATTATAAAACAAGAATGGTTCCAAGAATTGATTAAAAGCCAGAGAGACCTCCCTGACTTATTCTGCTTCCTGTACCTATACCTATTTTTCAGCTAGGGAGCACCTGGCCGCGTGGCCCCCCACCTTTGCACAGCCCTGGGCTGGAGCTGGCAGGGGCTATGCTGCAGGGACCCAAGGATGGGCTGGAGGGCCACTAAGGGATGGCTCACGGCAGAGCTAAGCCACCTGTGCAGGCGCAGATGGCCACAGACGTACAGAGATGGCAGCAAGTGCCCCTGGCGCCACAACTTCCTGCTGCGTATGCAGCCCTGTACGCTTTCTTTTCTCTAGGCTCCTACACAGACGGACATACAAAGAAAGCCACAGATGTACAGCACCGAACATTGCTTATGGGTGGCAGTAACTGCTTTTTTTCTTTACACACCTGTGTGATGGAGTACACGCTTGTCTTGAAGACTGCATTTGGCAATTCAGGTGTTTTTTTTTTTTTTTTTTTTTTAACCTCTATTACTACCCAGAAGCCCAAAGAAATTTAGCTTTTTGTGAATGTTAACTCTTACCCCAGGAACTCCATCCTGCAGACCAATGTCCTGAAAAACAAAAAGTTTTCCTCTACTGAACAGTGACCACACCAAAAAATCTATTTGGTGTGCTGGGCTGTAACATAGCACTACACAAAATGTGCAGTGTGGGACTCCGAATTAGAGCCCTGCGTCCTCACAACCTTACCAAGTTCCCTTTCTAGAAAACACTGCGCAGCCCAAGTGTACTGGGGGTTCTCTCCGCAGGGACCACCCTGGCTCTGCCTCCTAGGTTTTCCCAGGCACCGGGGCCTGCAGTCGCCCCGGTGGGAGGGCAGTTTGCACAGGGCCTTCCTGTGGGGGACACCTTCTCTGGCTGTCACTAACTTCTGGGGCTGGTGGGATGAGTGTGCACGGGACCAGGGGGAGGAGTGGCCGCGAGTAGCCATGGCAACACATCAGCGTGTCCTCCCTTTCTCTTTTCTTTTTGGCCACAATCAATTCAGCCACCCCCCTTTTTTTTTTCTTCCAAGATCTGGGACCCAGAAAAGCGGTAGCACGCTTGCATGGGTTCATTTTTTTTTTCCTTTAGCGTTGTTCCACTTGCTAAGTTCAGAGGAGTCGAACCGGAAGATGGCCGTGGCCAGTATTTCTGTAGACAGTTGCAGCAGACGCGGTGGCCCCAATCACACCTCCGCCACCACGTCGTCCCGACCGACGTCTCTCCCAGCGCCCCGTACAGCCAAACTTACATAAGCGCCCCCCCACCCGCCGCGACA